TCTCGCTTCGAACTCTTCCCATCCAAGTCCTTCATAAAATCGTCATATACAACTTACACTGCCAGTTTCCCTGTTTCCTTCTGCCAAACATGACTACTGATTGCCTGCTCCGAGGAGATAGCAGTTATCCGCCATACCTCTCGCAGTTCCAGCAACATACTCTCCGAGCATCTGGAGCCGCCGCACCTTTTTCAACTAACGGCGCTTGGATGCCAGCTGACCTGACACCGCCAGCAGCTCAGCACCAGCATACACAGAATCTCGATTCAGTCGTTCGTCCAGCCGAAATGCATCGCCAGCAACGAATGCATCGCCGTTCCCCATCCCTGTCCGTTGTCGAAACGTCGCCGAAAGCTGGATACGATTACAACGACTTTCGAGCGCCGCCCACTGCCAACGTCGCGGGTGCCACACCCAACGGCGCGAATCGTCGCGTATTGACTACCTTCCCTGACGTCTCCGCAGCCGCTCAACCACCACACGTGGCAAGCACGGCGCACGCCACGTGGAAAAAACCAGGGATGACGCTACCTCCGCTCGTCCGTCGATGCACAGTCGGATCCGACGGCGACTATTTAAACTACAATAATCAAATAGAAGATTCCTGGTGCCCTAGTCCAAGCCCAAGCCCCCGTGATGTACGCTTCGATTTTTCCGGGGAAAGGTGGGCGGATGTTCCCACGTCACCACTTCCGCCGAGGTCACCCGTTTTCAAAGGCTTTCCGCCTCGTGCAACGTCAACTTCCTCCAGAATGGGGCGATCCGGGTCGGTTGGAAGCGCCGTTAGTAGCGTCGCCTACGACGATGACGATTCTGACGACGACGAGGCGTTTATTCAGCAATACGTTGCGAAGATAATCACCCCTGCCGCAGCAGCAGCCGCCGCCGCCGCAGCAGCAGCCGCGTCTGCCGCTGCCGCTGTAGCTGTATCCGCACATACTTCCGCAACTTCAGCGCGAAACAGTGGAGCTTCATCAAAAGAGCAAGGGTTTTACCCGCCGAATCGAGTGTCGCGGGGGGCGCGGACGCACAGGCGCTGGCAGAGTTTCTCCGACTGTCCCGTCCCCGCGGGAAAATATTCCCCTGTTGAACGTTCCCCGCAAAATACTTTCGCTAGTTATTCGCGGAGGGCTAATGTAGACGTTGCCAGTTTTACCGATGAGTTCGTACCGCTTCGCGAATGTGCAGTCCAAGAGAAGTACACAAAGTCGCCAGATCTTGGTTACCGGGTTCCTGCCGCCGCGTCTTTGCCCCCGCAGCATCGTCGACGGAACAGCGTCGCCCCGAGCTCTGGCATTCCGAGACGTCGCTCAGGCGAGGAAGATTGGGCAATGCTTTCGCCAGGCGAAGTTCAGAAGCTCCACGTTTCTAGCCTTAGGCTGACGAATCGTGCAGTCGCGGGTTCGAATCTCGCAGGGCCCGATCCTGCCTGGTCCCCTCATTACAACAACACCAGGCACCAACAACCTGCCAACCACGTGGGCCATTCTGACACACCTCCTGTTCCCTCTAGGGCTCCACGTCAGCAGCAGAAGCCTAGGTCACTGGTTCACCAGAGGTCCAAGAGCCAAGGTGCTAAGGAGCTCTCTTTTTCCATGGGATCCCATGGCAACTCTCCTGTAAACATGGTGACCGGACGGATGGGACTGGACAGAACATGGCATTCTCCTGAGCCTCAAAATTCCTATGGCTGGGAGGTTTTTGCATATGAGAGAAGGTAGGGAGGCATATAAACTCAATTAGAGCGAAGTATGTATCTTCGTATAGGTAGCCTCCTAATTCTGATTTCTATCCATCTGTTATTGATGCTCAAGTGTATGGCTGTTATACAGCATGACTACTGATTCTAATAAACTGATCCCTCTTCTCATTTTTTATTCCTGACTTCTGATCCGTTTCATCAACCAAGCTCCAGCATCCCACTCACCGTCAATGTCCAATATCGAGTGTATTCGGGTCATCCTCCCTCCTCCTGTCTCGCAAATAATCCTTCACCGTTCTCATTGCTAAACAAAAAGCTCTTGAACGCACAGCACCTATTATAACAGCAGCACTCTCAGATGTTTTATTCCATGCTTGGAACCACCTAGCCCTCCGTAGAATCTCGTTTCAAGCTCTCGCAATTTCCACCCGCAGCGTAGACGCTAGTCCCGTGACGCAATTTTTGGCGCTGTACCCGTTATAGCCTGCTCAAAGCTCATGCTCTGTGCCTAAGCCTCAGGGCCCAGGATACTGTGTTTACGACGAATACGCGATCTGCGGCACAGAGACTAGTTGATCCGGCAGTTTTCCCAATCAGTCAACCCTTTTCCTAGCGCAAACAGAGAGTTATCGCACCTCACTCCCCTGCGTTTGTACACGCAGTTATTTGCGGTCCTTAGTGGAATTTGCGATGTCGCAAAGTGGGTAGTGAGACTCAGGACGGCTGGCACAATTCCGTTAAAAGTATAGTTGACTATCGTTCAGCATTCCTCGTGACTACTTCGAGCGGCTCTATTCTGTCGTGCGGGGAGTCAACCAGGAAGGTGACTGTATCGGTTCCGGCAGTAACGGAGGGGTGGCAAGATGATGCGAACAGGGAGGGATAGTGAAGTGCGGACACAGAAGAAGGTCGAGGAAGGTAAGCAGTTGGTTGGGAATCTCGGATTTGTGATCAGGCGTAGGTCGTAAGGAATTTGAAAAAAGTAAGCTGGATTTAGGACGTGGAAGAAGTTTCGAAGGTTAGAGAATTAGATGATGATTGGATTCTCTAACTACGGTAGGATTCAATGTAAATGCTCTTGGAATCCTACGATTGTCGTCTTTCCACCCGCCTTAGTAAATTTACACTCACTCCACAGTCACATTCCTGTTTACTCCGCGCTCCCGCGTCGTAGCCTCACTTTGCACTCACTTTACTGGAGAATTAGGCGTGACGACTTTGAGAGGAGTCAAAAGTTACCCACTCGCTCTCGCATCACCTCCCTTGTTCTCTGCAGCCCTACGGAGCAAGATGAAGGAGCGAGCGCTCAAGGAGTGTGCGCGGGAGATTGAGGCGTATGCTGACTGTGTGCGTGGGCGTGTGTTCTCCATTGTGTGGGCGTGCCGGGCACACGCCACCGAACTCAACCAATGCCTGCATCAGTAGTAAGCATGTAGGGAGTGTGCTGACTGGGTGCGTGCAAGATGCATGGGGAGAGGGCGTGTGTTCTCCATCGTGTGGGCGTGCCGGGCACATGCCACCGAGTTCAATCAATGCCTGCACCAATAGTAAGCACGTAGGGAGTGTGCTTACAGGGTGTGTGCAAGAGGCGTGAGGAGAGGGCGTATGTTCTCCATCGTGTGGGCGTGCCGGGCACACGCCACCCAACTCAACCAGTGCCTCCACCAATTGTAAGCAAGCAGGGCATGTTGGAGGGCGTGTGTAGAGACGTGTCTAGTAGAGGACGTGTGGAGAGGACGTGTTCTCTGCATTTTGTGGGTGTGCCGGACACATGCCAGTGAGTTGAACGTCTGTTTGCATACCTAGAAAGAGTGCACATGTATATTCCTCCTTCATGCTCCTTCTGCCTGCTCCTCCTGGTTTGTTAGAATTCTCTGGTTTTTTCTTTTCTCTGGTTTTTGAGAATTCTCTGGTTTTTTAGAATTCTCAAAAACGTCCGTCTGCATACCTAGTGCACATGTATATTCCTCCTTCATGCTCCTTCTGCCTGCTCCTCCTTTCTCCCGCTCCTTGTGCGAGTTCCCTTGGTGCTCCTCATTCCTGCGTGTGTGCTAGTGTGCATTTGTTGCATCTTCCCCATGCCGCCTTCCCTCGTTGCCTATCCCAGCACTCCCTTTTTGTGCGCCTGTTCTCATCACCCCCCATCCATCTCTCCGGTTTCTAAGCCACTCTGGCCTCAAACGTATGAAGTGTGCTCTTCCTGCCGTCTCAGTTTGCTCCCTCTGTTTGATTCGCACACCGATATTCGCAGCACCAACGATGCAGTGCTGGATCAATACAAGCGGGATAACATGGCATCGCAGCAGCAACTGCACTTACCGTACCTTATTCCGTCCCATTGCTTTGTTGCCCTCTGTTTGACCTTCCCCCCCTTCCCCCTCTCTCCCCCCACGTTTATTCGCAGCACCAACGATGCAGTGTTGGATCAGTACAAGCGGGATTACATGGCGCAGGAGCAGCTGCTGTTGCAACAGAAACTTGATATTACCTTATTCAGATTCATTGCTTTGCTGCTCTCTTTGTTTTGCTGTTTTGTTTCTCTGTCATTGATTCGCCGTTTTCTCGCAGCACCAACGATGCAGTGGTGGATCAGTACAAGCGGGATTACATGGGCAGCAGCAGCAACTGAGCAGGAGCAACTGCATCTTACCTTATTCTCTTCCTCTCTCCATTTGTTTCGCACACCCTTTTCTTGCAGCACCAACGATGCAGTGTTGGATCAATACAAGCGGGACTACATGGCGCAGCAGCAGCAACTGCAGCAGGAGCAGGAGCAGCAGAAGCCGAAGCAGCAACAACAATAGCAGCAGCAATGGTTGCATCAGCAACAACCACCACTGAAACAGCCGTAGAAACTACATATCCGAGTGCAGCAGTAGGAGCAGCTGCTGGACTGCACACATCTCCTCAGTTCGAATTCATTGATGCATCAACTATTCTTTTAAGTGGTGTGTCTAGGTTTTGTTTACTTGGATTATGATAATGAAAATAATAATACCATACTGTAATATACGTTCCAAATGATTTTGGAAAGGGTTGGATGAATCAGCTCTCACTTTTTGGGAGTTGGCAAATTTATGCTTCTTATAGTATGCCTTCAAAACTTCGTATCAATTTAGCCTATGTAACTACAGTAGAAGCAGAACAGCAGCTGAACAGGAGCATGTCCTAAGCATTTGATGTGAAGCACGCCTAGTTTGAATTTGCATACGACCGCGTCCAAGCAGCACCCAAGCAGCAGCAGCAGCAGCAGCAGCAGCACTCGTCGCTTAACTAAGCAACAGCACTTATCACTCCACTAAGCAGCAGCGCCATCAGTGGCAGGAGCGGGGTCCCCCGAGTGCTGGCGCAGCACCATGAGTGCCTCTTCCACCTTGGCCAGGAGGGCGTCTGGTGATTCCAGCAGCAGCAGCAGCTCGCTGTTGTCCATCTCGAGAAGCATTCCCGTGATCTTACCCGCCAGCTCCGGCTGCAGTCGGAGGGAGGGGAGGGAAGCAGGAAGGGAGTAGAGTTGGAGAAAGGAGAAGGAAGGAGATTACAGCAGCAGCAGCAGCTCGCTGTTGTCCATCTCGAGAAGCATTCCCGTGATCTTACCCGCCAGCTCCGGCTGCAGTCGGAGGGAGGGGAGGGAAGCAGGAAGGGAGTAGAGTTGGAGAAAGGAGAAGGAAGGAGATTCCAGCAGTAGCAGCAGCAGCTCGCTGTTGTCCATTTCGAGAAGCATGCCCGTGATCTTACCCGCCAGCTCCGGCTGTGGTGGGGTGGGAAACAAGGGAGGACGGGGGATAGAGGAGAGGGATAGAGTCAGAGCACATTGTGATTCCAGCAGCAGCAGCAGCTCGCTGTTGTCCATCTCGAGGAGCATGCCCGTGATCTTAACTTTTCTCCCTCCCTCCTGATGGGTGCCGTGCCAGTGCCAGTGCTGCTGCTGGAATCGCCAGACGCCAGATGCTGCTGGATGAGTGGGAAGAGGCGCTCTCCCAGCATCTGCTTCTGAGTCGCCTCCAGAGCACTTGACCTGGAAGCACCCATTCATTACCTGCCAATTCCCCCTCATTCATTCCCCCCCTTCAATCAGCTCACCTGATGCTGCTGGATGAGTGGGAAGAGGCGCTCTCCCAGCATCTGCTCCTGAGACGCTTGAACCGCACTTGACCTGAAAGCACCCTATTACAGCCCCCACTTACCGCTCCCTACCCACCTACACCCCTCAGTACTCCCTTTCAGCTCACCTGATGCTGCTGGATGAGTGGGAAGAGGCGCTCTCCCAGCATCTGCTTCTGCTGAGCAGGCGGCGCTGCAGCGAGGGCCGTCGGATTGAGCGGATCCGACGGCAGAGGCATGGGCGCAGCAGGGGGGACGACGCCAGGTGCCATGGGGACTGGCACCACTGGCACTGGCACGGCTCCCATGGGGAGCATCTGGGGTGGAAGGAGCGGGAGGGGGAGCGCACGGGAAGAGCAGGAGGAGAACAGTGTGAGACTTGAGGCGCCATGGGGACTGGCACCACTGGCACTGGCACTGCCCCCAGGGGAGCATCTGTAGGGATGGAGAGGCAGGGGGGGAGGCGTGAGGAAGAGAGATGGAAGGAAGAGAGTGAGAGCACACATTAGGAACGAGAGAGGCAGCAGGAGGGACCACACCCGGTGAGAATTCTCAAAAGTTCAATCAACGTCACTGGCACCACCAGCACTAGCACGAACCCCCATGGGGAGCATGTGGGGTGAAGAACGAGTGGGAAATGAGGAGAAACAGCAAACGAGGGGTGAATGAGTGGCCTTTTAACATGACATAGGAAGGCGCAGAGGCAGGATAGGGAGAGGAGGGAGCAGGGAAAGTAGAGGCAGGAGAGGGGGAAGTGGGCGCAGAGGCAGAAGAGGGAGCAGAGGAAGCAGAGGTAGGAAAGAGAGTAGAGGAAGCAGAGGCAGAAAAAGGGAGCAGAAAAAGCAGGGGGAGACTAAGAGGGAGCACCAGGAGGACTGGAACAGCCCAATCAGCCACAACATACATTCCACCCGCCCCATCCCTCACATTTCCCCTCCACCCCATCCCTCCCATTTCCCCCCCATCACCGCCAATCCATCCTCCACCCCCCCCCCCCCTCATTTCCCCCATCGCCCCCTGCCGCTCACCTGCTGCGGCTGCTGCCCCTGCTGTGGTCGCCCCCGCCCCTGGCGCTGGCGCGGACCAATGGACGCCTGGGGGACGAGGAGGGGGAGGGGGGAGGCGGGGAAAAAGGGGGAAGCATGGGAAAGGGGGAAAGCAGGAAGAAAAGGGGGAAGGCGGAAATGAGGCTGCTGCCCCTGCCCCCACCCCTTCTGCTGGCACGACCAATGGACGCTTGAGAAGATGAAGGGAGAAGGGGGGGTGGGAGGGGAATGGGGGGGTAGAGGAGGGGATTGGGGGGGTAGAGGAGGGGAATGGGGGGGTAGAGGACTAAGGTGGGGGGAGGAGGGGAAGCGGGAAACGTGGAGCATGAATCGGGGAACAGGAGGAGGAGGAGGATACGAGGAGCATGAAAAACAGGGGGAATTAACCCTAATGAAAAGGAGGCTGTGGGGAAGAGGCGCATAAACACCCTGCTTCCCCTCCCTCCGCTGTTGCCCCAGTTGCCTTGCCCCGCCCTGTTGCCCCACCCCACCCTAATTACCATAGCAGCGCCACTCACATTGTAGTTGGGCATGGCCCCCTACATGCGCCTCGCCCCATCATCTGTGGACACACCACCCCCTGCCCCTGCCCCTGCCCATGCCTCTGCGCCGGTCCCCTGCCCCCTGCCCCCTGCCCCCTGCCCCCTGCCCCCTGCCCCCTGCCCCCTGCCCCCTGCCCCCTGCCCCCTGCCCCCTGCCCCCTGCCCCCTGCCCCCTGCCCCCTGCCCCCTGCCCCCTGCCCCCTGCCCCCTGCCCCCTGCCCCCTGCCCCCTGCCCCCTGCCCCCTGCCCCCTGCCCCCTGCCCCCTGCCCCCTGCCCCCTGCCCCCTGCCCCCTGCCCCCTGCCCCCTGACCCCTGACCCCTGCCCCCTGCCCCTGCCCCCTGCCCCCTGCCCCCTGCCCCCTGCCCCCTGCCCCCTGCCCCCTGCCCCCTGCCCCCTGCCCCCTGCCCCCTGCCCCCTGCCCCCAGCCCCCTGCCCCCAGCCCCCTGCCCCCTGCCCCCAGCCCCCAGCCCCCTGCCCCCTGCCCCCTGCCCCTCCCCCTGCCCCTGCGCCTGCGCCTGCGCCTGCCCCTGCCCCTGCCCCCTGCCCCTGCCCCTGCCCCTGCCCCTGCCCCTGCCCCTGCCCCTGCCCCTGTCCCTGCCCCTGCCCCTGCCCCAGCACTTCACACTTGAACCCGCCTCTCATGTCACCCACATTGTAACCAGCCCACTCACATTGTAGTTGGGCATGGGTTGGAACCCTCCCCGCGGCATGGGCCCCCGCCAAGCGCCCCGCCCCATCATCTGCGGATACACCACCCCCTGCCCCTGCCTCTGCGCCTGCCCCTGCGCGCCCGCGCCTCCCGCCAGCACCCCAGGGGGGGGCGCAGCATAGAAGATGGGCGCACCAGGGGGGAACATGGGCGCACCAGGCGGCATCCCCCCCGGCCCCCCTGCCACCCCGGGGATAGGTCCCCCAGCAGCAGCAGCGGCGGCGGCAGCTGCAGCAGCGGCGTTGGGGGGAAGAACTGCGCCTGGGGGGAGGGCTGCGCCTGGGGGAAGGACGCCCGGGGGGAGCGCGCCCCTGAGTGCGAACTGCTGCTGCAGCTGCGCCTGGCGCACCTCCTTGCGCTGGGCTAGCGCCACGTAGAGCGGACGGCCGTTCACCAGACGACCTGATGGAGGAGAGGGGCGGGAGGAAGGGGTGGGAGAACGCGGAGGAGTGAGGGGAGGGAGAGGGGTGGGAAAGGAGGGGTTGGGGGAGAGGGGTGCGAGGCCAGGGAGGGGGAGAGGGAGCAAATGGGAGCGGGAGCAAATGGGAGAGGGAGCAAATGGGAGAGGGAGCAAATGGGAGAGGGAGCAAATGGGAGAGGGCGAAGCTTCAACAAAAACCCGAACAAACCCAAACCCAAACCCAAACCCACCTCCCTACAAACAGCCCCTTGCAGTCTCTCACCATTAGCCTCCATGATGGCGCGGCTGGCCTCATCAGTGTTGGAGAAGCAGACAAACCCAAAGCCCCGGCTGGTGCCCTTGTCGTCGCGCATCACTTTGGCCGACGTGATCGCCCCGAACGGGGCAAACTCCGCCATGAGCCTGTCGTCATCCACCGCCTCTTCCAGATTCTTCACATACAGGTTGGTGGTCTGAGGGGGAGGAATTGGGAGTGGGGGTGTTGGGGGAGGGGGGGGAACGGGAACGATGGAAAGAGGAGGGGTGGGAGCGTTACAGGCGATCCACCATGTTCTCCTGGTACAGGATCCACACCGCAACATCTGCTCCATACCCTCTACCCTACCCCTTGCAATCACACAGAATGACCCAGATCCGCCTCCCCCTCCCCCCTCCCCCCCATATAATCACCTGGAAGCGCTGAAGCCGCTCCATCTTCTTCTCCTCGTACTGGCTTCGCAGCATCTGCTCTCTCTCTGACTTCTTCTGTGCTCGGGCCACAAGAATCGCCTTTGAACCTGAAACAGTAGGAAGGAGAGGGAAAGGAGGAAGAACGTAGTATTTTTTTGTTGTTTGTTTTTTCCCCTCGTCCCAGAACCACCAGGGCGGGTTAGAAGCTGGCGGAAGGGGCCCGAAGGGCCTACCAGGACCTTTAACGGTATCAACTCAGAGCCCCAGAAACATGACAAGGACTCAAGGAGAGACCCACCGAATTGCGCGTTGTTGAGCTTCTCGACGGCTTCCTGGGCACCGGCCGGGTCCTGGAAGTTGACAAACTCGAAGCCCTTGTTTCATTCAAGGCACCACTCATTGCACATCACCCTATGAACCGTCATTGCAGCAAATAAGCGAGGTCGACTCAAGCACCCACCGAACTGAGCGTTGTTGAGCTTCTCAACGGCCTCCTGGGCGCTGGCGGGGTCCTGGAAGTTGACAAACCCGAAGCCCTTGGAGGCACCGGCGTCATCCCGCATCACGACGGCATTGGTGATGGGACCGATCTCCTAGAAGCGCGCAGCCAGCTGCTGCTCCGTCCTGACTTTTGAGTCGACTCAAAAGTCACCCCGATCTCCTAGAAGCGCGCAGCCAGCTGCTGCTCCGTCCTTTCGAGACAGGTTCGAATCCCACACAGGATGTAGAGTCTCAACAAGCCTTGAAGACATGAAGGATTAAGAAAAAAACGCACCGAATTGCGCGTTGTTGAGCTTCTCAACGGCCTCCTGCGCGCTGGCGGGGTCCTGGAAGTTGACAAACCCAAAGCCCTTGGAGGCGCCGGCGTCATCGCGCATCACAACGGCGTTGGTGATGGGGCCGATCTCTGAGAAGCGCGCGGAGAGCTGCTCCTCCGTGATTTCGGGCGCGAGGTTTCTGACAAACACGTTGGTGAAGCGCGCCTGCTGCCCGTCTGAGTCCCGCTCGCCCCGCTTCAGGAACTTGCCCACGAATCTGTGCGGGGGAGGGGGGGTGGGGGAAGGCCGGGGCCGGGGGAAGGGGAGGGAGAAGGGGAGGTGGAGGGGGAAAGGGCGGGGGAAAAGGGCGGAGCGTAGGTGATGAGAGGAGGGAAGCAGTAGGGTGTACGATTGTGCGAGCAGCGACCTGCTCCTCGGTGGAGTCGGGCGCAAGGTTTCTGACAAACGCGTTGGTGAAGCGCGCCTGCTGCCCGTCAGAGTCCCGCTCGCCCCGCTTCAGGAACTTGCCCACGAAGCGGGTGGGGGGGAGGGGGAAGGGGGAAGGGGGACGAGGCGGAGGCGGAGGCGGAGGCGGAGGGGAAAGGGGCGGAAGAAAAAGGGGAAGGGGGCGTGAGGAGGGACAGCGCGAAGGGAAGATTGGGCAACCCCGTCAATATCAGTCAACCCCAGTCAACCCCAGTGAACCCCAGTGAACCCCAGTCAACCTCAGTCAACCCTTCCGCCACTCACACTTTCTTGCCCTCCACGAGCATGCCGTTGACCTTCTCAATGGCCAGGTTGGCCGCCTCCTCCGTCTCGAAGTGCACGAAGCCGTACCCCTTGCTCTTGCCCTCGGGCGTCACGGCGATCTTGCACGACCAGATGGGGCCGAACGCGCTGAACGTGTCGTGCAGCGCCTTGTGGTCGATCGACTCGTCCAGGTTCTGAGGGGTGGGGAGAGGTGGTGGGGGAGAAGGAGGGGCGGAGAGGGAGGAAGCGGGGAAGGAGCGGGAAGAGACGTTGGTTTGGTTCAATTTGCACGTTCGATAGACCAGATGGGGACGAACGCGCGGAACGTGTCGTGCAGCGCCTAGTGGTCGATCGACTCGTCCAGGTTCTAAGAACGGGGGGGAGGGGCGAAGAGGGGGAGAGAGCGGAGGGGGAGAGAGGGGAACGCGCGGAACGTGTCGTGCAGCGCCTAGTGGTCGATCGACTCGTCCAGGTTCTGGGGGCGGGGGAGAAGAGGGAGAGTGGGGGAGGGAGAAGGGGGGCAGGGGGTGGGGTGGTAAAAGAGGCATCAAACGCACAGCGCTTTGTAGTCAATCAACTCGTTCAGGTTCTAGCAGAGGGAGAGGCAGGCGGGAGCGACAGGAGGGAGAGAAGGTGGGTGGGGGGGGGAGGGGAGGTATGGGAAGGGAGAGCGGAGGGGGGAAAAAGCAGCGAGGAAGCGGGGTGGGAGCGGCGGGAGCGGGGAGGGAGCGTGAAGAGCGGGGAGGGGGCGGGTAGGCGGCGGGAAGTGAGCACCGATATGTCACCACTCGCACCAGCTGTCTTGGTTTTGCCCCAACCGCACCTCGACAAACCCGTTCCAAACGCCGCTGTGGCAATGACTCAGGTGGCGGTGGGACCCCAAGCAATTCACGAAACAGTTACCACAGGTTATCGAACGGGTAACACTTCGCACACCTTGATGAAGATGTTTCCGACGCCGCTGCGGCGGTGGCTGGGGTCGCGGTGGGACCACATAATGCGGATGGGCCGCCCGTTCACCTCGCGGTAGTTCAGCGCCTCCCTTGCGCGCTCCGCTGCGCGGGGGAGGTGCGGGAGAGTGGGGAGAGAGGGGAGGAGAGGTGACGAGAGGAGAGAGGGGAGGTGAGGCGGAAAGCAAGAGCGCAGATGAGTTCAACTCGCGGCAGTTCAGCGCCTCCATTGCGCGCTCCGCTGGGGGAGGGGCGGGGGGAAACGGGGGCACGGGAGGTGGGAAGGGCGGGAGAGGGGGAGCGGAAGGCGGAGGCGGGAGGGGCGCGCCAGGGTGGGGAGGGACGAGAGGCGCGCGCGGGTGGCGGAGGGATGACAGGCGCGCACCGGTGGGGAGAGCCATGGACGAGGTCGGTGTTTCGATGGAGAGAGCGAGGTTAACGGGGACTGAGATGCAGATAGGCGAGTGGGGAAAATTCCGGAAATCCTTGATAACTCTGATTTTTTTAATTCTCTTAAGTGGAGGCAGAGGGATCGAGGGCCGGCAGGCTAGCGACCCAGGAAGGCTGGTGGTTTAATTCACGAAAGCGCCATTCGCGGAAACGCGATCCGTAGAAACGCGAGTCGCGGAAACAAACAATTTCATGGCGAGGCATTCCCAATGGCGAGATACCAGCGGCGGTGCGATACAAGGGAATAAAAGTCGGCGGAGGTCTACAGTATGGCGGAGAGACGGCGGTGGTCTACAATATGCCGGAGAGACGGCGGAGGTCTACAAGATGCCGGAAAATCGGCGGAAGCCTACAGGCGGAAGTCTACAGTTGCAGAAGTGTACAATTGGCGGAAGTCTACATTTGGTGGCCGTCTACAGTAGAAGGAAGCCTTCAGTTGGAGAAATTTAGATGTAGTAACGACTTACCTGCATGCTCTGTTGAAGCAACGATTCACATGAAAACGAAGCGGCAGTATCGAGGAAGTGTTTCACGCGGACATGGAAGGGCACGTAGGGGCGGGAGAGAAACGTAGGGGGAACGGGGCGCAAAGAGGGGAAAGATGAGACGGAAGGTAGGTTCGGAGAATTCAAGCTGGGAAGCAAATGCAACGAAATCGCAGGTCAGACAGAACAGTCTCAGCTGCTGATGCTGCGGATCGGCCGTCATGACATTCACATGATTCAGATCAACCATGTGTACGGGTTGCTAGATGTTCCCAAACCACTCGTGATGCTCTAGTCGGATGGGACCTTCAATCACTCTTACCTTGGAATGCTAGAGTACCTAAGAAGGCTACAGAGGCAAGCAGGCCAAAGGTGAAGGAAAGAAAAGCAACGTCCGTGTGCAGTTGCAGTAACAGAGCACATTTAACGATTTATTATAATCCTCTGAAATTTCCCACAAGTGCACGACGAACGCCGACCGTGTGGTCTAAAGCAACAGCAGCGCGTCGCCGGAAAACCAGCAAGGGTACGGACGGCGATCGCGTCGCAATCCACTCGAATTGATTGCCAGAGAGGGAGGGAAGCGAGAAATGAGATATAACCGACAGTAGGGAGTAAATGACGTGGGAGTGGTTAAAGATGCCTCCGTAATAGAGGCCAGGGACGGAAAACACACTATACACAGGGAAAGAGGAAAGGGAATGAGCGAGGGATCTAACCGTCGACTGTGATGTTGTATTGACGTAGGCAATTCTTGAGGCGACTACGAAAGGGAGGAAGAGAACTGACCGTCGTCAGCGCTGTTGTAGTTGACGTAGGCGTAGCCCAGCGAGCGGCGCGTGACGGCGTCACGGCAGACGCGGATGGACGCGACGGGGCCGACCTGGCTGAAGAGCTCGTACAGCTGCGCCTCCGTCACCTCCTTGTCCAGATCGCCCACGTACAGCGACGCCGACGGCGCTGCGGCTCCCGCGGTAGCCATGGCTTCTCGAGAGATTAGAATTGGGATAAAGCGGTTGAGGACGGTTCGACGAACGGGAACTTCGGGAAACTGCCTGTTCCGGGTATTTAGTGCAGAGAAATGGTTATTCCAGAGGTGTTGGCTCCGGTGGGACTGATGCCTGATTATCTGATCTGCTCCGGTACAGCGTCGATACTGAACTAGGGCTGGGGAGAATTAAGCCCTAACGTCCGATCTAAGATCGGAAACCAAAAACCGCTACTGGGACCTCGCGTGTTTCTGGCCTAATTTTCTGGTTTTCTATATTTTTTTGTGGTTTTCTAGACGGACCGAGGGACCTTGATGAGACTCTTTTTTTTTTTGGCTTTTCTAGTTTAAATCCCCGAGGGGAAGGGGAGAAGAGAGTCAGAGACTCATAGGAGGCAACAGAAGCAACCTGCAGGCATAGCCCAGGCAGGACGACGTTCCTCGGTGAAGCTAGGGTTCTGGTCGGGGTTTCCAGAAGGAAGAAAGAGAAGAGAGTGATTAGTGGGACCTTGGGACTATCTAAAGAGAGGGTGGAAAGGGAAGCGAAAATTCTCCGTTTTGGGTCTCTCCGTTACTGCAAGATTTGTATTCTTCGGACATGGCATTCCAGCAGTGGCGGATGCTGTGTGGTTATCGAGCGGACTTGTTCCGCGTCAGAATCTTCGATGATTCCTAGGTTGCTCGCCCGCCCTGATTGGATGGTGGAGAATACGGATTGCTGTATCTCCGTTTCAAACCTCTTCTCTACAGTCCGTTCGTGAAGTTCGTTTCTAGACCATAAAGCAAAGTTCAGAGGTGTGAGTTGCAAGGGAGTGGTGCAAAGCGCCGAGCCTACAAAACGCTCCAAAATGCACAGCAACGTACAAAAACGTTTGACACTCCCTGGATGTAATACAGACCAATTCCAAGGCCCGATACCACTTTTTGCCTTGCAGGACCCATCCATACCGTTTGTTTGTGGTCCCACCGGGCCACCCCACCATCTTGTGTGTCTTGTGTTGCTGGTAGAAATCAACTCGCGACAGTCTCGATGTTTTTTCCCGATACTTGCTAGAGCAGTATAATCACCTGAACGACCGTACAAAACCAAACTCAATTACTTGCGTCTTAGTGGTTTATGAAAGAGTCGTCCTTTTACCACCGTTACCGATCAACAGGTTGCAGTTCAAAATGCACCTCGTTTGATCGTTCCTGACAACTTCTCGTCTATTTAACTTCAACTGAGCCATCTTACCATCGTCCAAAATCAACAATGCTCGTCTGATCGCTTTCTCCTCGTCTCAGAAAGGTCCTCAACGTTCAAACCACGTTTCTGGCCAACTCCTAATGTTTTGTTGCGTCGACTTAAAAGCTCTTCTGGTAAGAGCGTAGACTCGTTGGTTCGTTATGGCTCCATTGCTCGTTACGCTCGGTTTTCCACGGACGTTGGCTGTGAACGAGTTATGCTTTCCTGAATCAGCGAGAGCGAGTACCGGCTTGCAATGAACAAGGCTTTCCTTCTTGCCCTAAGCCAGATTCTCCTTGGCCGCTGGTTATGAACGAGTTATGATCTGCTGAGCCAGCGATAGCAAGTGCTCATTCGCAATGAACAAGGCTTTCCTTCTCGCGCTCGCTCGGATTCTCCATGGCGGCTCGCTTCCACTGCACAACGCCGCGCGCAAGCGGAAGACGAAGCTTCCTAGACGTTGCTGCTCTCCACTCCGCGTGCTGCTGCTGCTCCTGGTGCTGACGGTTGTCAGCGTGGCTCTGCTGCTGCGATCGGTTCAGCTGCAGCAGAAGAACGCAGAGGAGGTGAGAAGAGCTATTTTCTATAGAAGTATAATAAGGGCATTCTGTCAGCGTGGCTCTGCTGCTGCGCTCGGTTCAGCTGCAGCAGAAGAACGCGGAGGAGGAGAGGAAAGGCGGCTTCTGTAGAAATCTCATAAGGGCTTTCTGTCAGCATGGAGCAGAATGCGAGTGTTTTTGCCGCTGACACTCATCAGCGTGGCTCTGCTGCTGCGCGTGGTTCAGCTGCAGCAAAAGAACGCGGAGGAGGTGAGGAGAGGCGTTTCCTATCAATTGTGCTGCTGACGGCTGGCAGTCAGCGTGGCTCCGCTGCCGCTGCAGTCGGTTCAGCTGCAGCAGAAGAACGCAGAGGAGGTGAGGAGCTGCTTTCCCTCATCCTTTTTCTTACCCCATACTCCTTCCGCCTCCCCTCCTAATGCTTTCATGCGCCACTACCTCTTTCTGCCTCCCTCTGCCCCCCTCTTCCCACTTTCCTTACCCAGGCCGGCCCCAAGGGTTTCATCCGCTACAGTGGTTTCGTTTTTCAATGCATCACCACACTCCTCTGCAAACCCACCTCAAAACCCCACTCCCCCACACCCCCCCTCCCCTCTCTCTTTTCTGAACCCAGGCCGGTCCCAAGGGGTTCATCCGCTACAGTGCGTACCGCCTGGGCGGCAGCTCCTTCGCTGTGATTGGTCTGGGGGCGCTGCGCCTCCGCGCTCGCACGCGCTTCCCCGGGTGCTCGTGGCACGACAATGGGGCCGCCCCGGGGGATGCAGGGATTCCGGGAAACGTGGAGGTGTTTTATCCGGGGGAGCACCATGATTTGGAGTATGAAACGGTGGTGCTTAAATGCTTTCTCAGAGCCGACACTCATGCCACGCAAGGGGGCAAGCTGTTTCTGCAGGTGGGCTGGGTTTAGATGGTTTCAGGGTTTGGGTAGAGTCAGGCATACCGGGGAGTGTGGAGGTGTTTTATCCGGGGGAGCACCATGACTTGGAGTATGAAACGGTGGTGCTCAAGTGCTTTCTCAGGGCTGGCACTCATGCCACGCAAGGGGGCAAGCTGCTGCTGCAGGTGGGTTGGGCTGGGATGGGTTGAGTTGTGTTGAGCTGGGTTACGCTGGGTCCAGGTGGTATCGGGTTGAGTCAGGCATACCGGGGAGCGTGGAGGTGTTTTATCCGGGGGAGCATCACGACTTGGAGTATGAAACGGTGGTGCTCAAGTGCTTTCTCAGGGCTGGCACTCATGCCACGCAAGGGGGCAAGCTGCTGCTGCAGGTGGGCTCGGTTGGGCTGGGTTGAGCTGGGTTCAGGTGGTTCTTAGGTTGAGTCACTTCAGGTACCTCAGGGAGCGTGGAGATGTTTTATCCGGGGGAGCATCACGACTTGGAGTATGAAACGGTGGTGCTCAAGTGCTTTTTGAGGGCAGACACTCATACCACGCAAGGGGGCAAGCTGCTGCTGTAGGCGAGTTCGGTCGGGCTGGGTTGAGCTGGGTTGGGATGTTTTTTGGGTTGAGTCAGGCATTCGGGGGAGTGTGGAGGTGTTCTATCCGGGGGAGCATCACGACTTGGAGTATGAAACGGTGGTGCTTAAGTGCTTTCTCATAGCTGACACTCATGCCTCGCAAGGAAGAAAGCTGCTGCTGCAGGTGGGTTGGGCTGGACTGGGATGGGTTAGGTTGGGTTGGGTTGGGTTGGGTTAGGTTGGGTTGGGTTGGGTGGGTTGGGTTAGGTTGGGCCAACATATTGCCGGTTTTCCTGGAGCCCCATTTCCCCTTAGAAGCATATCTGTGCCACTCGCCACAGCCCTGCAATCACACCATCATACCAGAACCAAGTGCAAGGCACGCATGGCTCGCGGGTCATATCAGTCAACACACAGCAGCTAGTCGCCTAAGCTTCTTCCGTCTCCTTCCCTGCCCTCCCTTGCATTAACACCACACCACACCACACCACACCAGGTGCAAGTGCAGGCCACGCATGGGTCGCGGGTCATATCAGTCAACACACAGCAGCTAGTCGCCTAAGCTTCTTCCGTCTCCTTCCCTGCCCTCCCTTGCATTAACACCACACCACACCACACCACACCAGGTGCAAGTGCAGGCCACGCATGGGTCGCGGGTCATATCAGTCAACACACAGCAGCTAGTCGCCTAAGCTTCTTCCGTCTCGTTCCCTGCCCTCCCTTGCATTAACACCACACCACACCACACCACACCAGGTGCAAGTGCAGGCCACGCATGGGTCGCGGGTCATATCAGTCAACACACAGCAGCTAGTCGCCTAAGCTTCTTCCGTCTCCTTCCCTGCCCTCCCTTGCATTAACACCACACCACACCACACCACACCAGGTGCAAGTGCAGGCCACGCATGGGTCGCGGGTCATATCAGTCAACACACAGCAGCTAGTCGCCTACCACGAGCCGCCCAACGCCTTCCCTGTCTCCCTGGAGCCGCATCCCCCTTATAAGCACCGCGTCGCGTTCTGCTCGCCGCCAGTACACTCAGAACTGGACGGGAGGAGGCTGTACGAGTGGTTGGAGTATCATTACCATCTGGGTGTGGATTACTCAATCATGTATGATGCAGGGGGGATTGACGACCAAGTCACTCAGGTGAGCCCTTGCTGATCTACCACGTACTAAGGCAAAGAAGGAGACTCTTCTTTAGATGGGAGTGGTGGGACATGGGAGTGGTAAGAGGAGGCTGTACGAGTTGCTGAAGTGTCACTATCATCTGGGTGTGGATTACTCGATCATGTACGATGCAGGGGGGATCGACAATGAAGTCACTCAGGTGAGTCTTTTTTGTGAGTGGGTGGGTGGGAGTGGCATGGCAGTTCGCTTTGCATGGCAGGCAGGCAGTCTAGCAAGGGTAAGACAAGGTGGCTGAGAATTGGATGGGAGGGGGCTGTATGAGCGGCTGGAATCCTGAGATGTCTCAAACCTCAAAAGGGTCATCATAAAGTAGAGTCGACAAATCAAGTTGCCTTTTTTCCACACTGTTCCCCTGGCAGGTGCTGATACCATACGAGCAGGAAGGCCTACTGGAGGTCAGAGATATAGGGGACTTTCTGGAGTACGAGACGTGGCTCTATGCCCAGGTGCGATTTCTTGAGTGTACGGATGGGGGTGAGGGTGGGGGTGAGGGTGGGGGGTGAGTGTAGGGGTGAGGGTGGGGGGTGAGGGTGGGGGTGAGGGTGGGGATGAGGGTGAGTGTACTC